GGGAGGTCAGAAATGAAGGAAAAACAGCAATCCTTCCAAATGGGGTTGCCCCACCCAACTGTGACTTGGGAGTCTGTAATCCCATTAATTTTACTATCTTTACCCCAAAAGACTGTATATTTAAAAAAAAAAAGTAACATAATTGGCCTTTGTGTTCATGGATGAGGCAAAGACCCTGGAGTTATACTTTTAAGGGGGTCATTATCTCCTACAAAGCTTCATCCCATCAAGTCATTTATTTGCTTTTATAAGGAAATGGAAATGAACTTTCAATCCATCTCCATCACAGCAAAAGAATTTGTTGATATTTTTGGCTGAGACAATAGCCCAGTCTTAAAAAAAAAATGTCTTCTTGCTATGTGTATTGAGGAACCAATATGGGAGACCAATGGCCCTTGGAGGCCAGGGAACCAGAACCCCCTCCCTTGAGCCCTATGATGAAACTAATTACCTCTGTTCTGCCTCTCAGATATGGCATCTTACAACCTTAATTGTTGGAAAGAACTGCATTGGCTGATGGGGAGGAAAATCTAATATCTCTGTAGGCAGTTTAACATGCAAGGTGAAAGGTTTTACAACTCCACCACCAAGAGAACCCAATGATGGAGATGGCCAAATTCCACTGAACTAGACCCTTATCTCTTGTCTAACTTCTTTCATCTCTGCTGGGCATGGAATAATGTTAAGGCAAAAATCATATGACAGGCTCCAGGTAGACCATGTTGAATATGTGGAAGAACAGCCTATGCTGGTACTTCCTCCAAATTGGTCATGTGTCTGTATGCTAGGGCCTATTCATCCTTCCTTTTTCATACTTCACTTGTCCACAGAAGTATGGCTATACTAAGGCAAAGAGGTTCAAAGAAAAAGCTGAACCTTACACACTGGTGATTGGAAGAACAAGGAATGACCTCCTAAATGTATAGTTCAATACTCTGGCCCAGCCACCTGGGCAGAAGATGGGTCTTAGGGATATCATACTCCCATCTATATGTTAAACTGTATTGCCATGTTACAGGCTGTTGCTGAAATCACAACTTCAAGGGCTCTCAGTATCCCAGTGAAACAACAAACCAAAATGTGCAATGCTATTTACTAAAACCACCTGGCCTTAGATTATTTACTGGCCACTGAAGGAGGGGTTCTGTGGAAAGTTCAATTTGAGTAACTATTGCTTGGAAATATATGGTCAAGGAAAGGTCACAGAAGAAATCACAGACTACATGAAAAGAACTGCTCATGTCACAGTCCAATCCTGGAACAGCTGGAACACAGACAGCCTATTTTGGGGATGGTTTTCAATTTGTGGGGGGATTTAAACACCTACTAGATATTCTACTCTTGCTACTGGGGGCCTGCCTAATTCTTCTTTGCCTTGCTCCATTGCTCAGAAGATCAGTCTCCAGTCTCATTGAGGCTATGATTGAAAGAAAAATGGCCACCCATGTAATGACGTTATAGAAATACAAGACCCTGAGCAAAGATGATGCTCTTTGACCCTTAAAGGGATCCAAGCATCAAAGGGGTAATGTGATAACATAAAGTATGAATAATGTCTGGTTGTACATGCAGTTTTGCTATGTCTCCTGTTCAAGCCCTCACTATCCCCTTACAATATTTGAAGTTACCATTCAAAATGTAGGCTACTATCTATAGGAGATAAGGAAGCTAGAGAGCATAAGAGACTGGGTCTTTCTTTTTAAAGGCTATTTTTTTGGGAACTATCTCTCAGAACCTGTGCTGGAACACTAATAAATTACTTCTTGCATGTTGTCTTAATTTTCCATTTTCTATTCAGAGTGTCTACTACAACAGAGCAAGAAGGTTGTAAATATTGGCAGCTTCTGGGAGGAGGGAGATGAAGTAGAGCAAAAGCTATGCTTTTTTTTAGGGTCCAAAAAAAGCAGGCAACTTTAGCCAAGGTGTCCAAAAGTGGCTGATTGGAGTGTGTGTGTGTGTGTGTGTGTGTGTGTGTGTGTGTGTATGTGTGTGTACTTCACAAAAAGAGTGAGAATCTCCATAGTGTCAGGGCAAGCATGCCCAGGATTTTGGACAGTATTGAAAAAGAGACAGAAAGAAGGAAAAGTTGTGCTTTTTGATATAATACCGAGTGAGATGCACATAAGAATGCCACATAGTGATCATTGAATTAGGATTCCTTTATTAATAGCCAGGGCCAGAAAAGGGGCTAATGCCCCTCAACCTTGGGAAGAAGTAGGGCTGGGTTTATAAAGCTTAAAACCGTAATTATATCATGCCAGGGGCAAAGCCAATAACCATAGTTATATCAGATCACCATAGTTACACCAGACCAGTGGCAGGTCAGTTAACAAAGAGGTTTTCAGTTAACAATAAGTTAACTCGGGGGGGGGGGGTGTGCTACCTGGAAGTGCTACCTGGCTACCTGTAAGTTTCCCAGTATTGTAGAAACAATGTACTCCCTGAAACTGCCTGTATGAGATGTCTGCCTGGCTGGTTGCAGTGGGAATGGGTGGGCAAAAACAGATAAAGCAAAAATCAGATAGAGCAAAATGGAGTTAGTTTTTCTATTTCATTGAGTTAGAACTCAAAAAAGAGAGCAGACTTAGCAGTGAAAGTCTATACCCAACTACATTGGGGAAGGGCTTCTGAGGGGTATGAGTACATTATCTTATTAAGGAGAGTAATTGTTCTTCCCATTTCTTTAGCATGCTTTCAGGCAAATCAGCTTTCTTGGGGGGTGGTCTGGCCAGGTTATTGACAGGCCCAGTTGTATTAACTCTTAAGGGAGTGGACAATGGTACATAATGTTATAAACTTTGTAACAGCTTACAGGGCAGAGGTGGAACTCAGATTCTATTCTTTTGACAAGGAGAAATTATCTTCCCCTTAATGGGCTTCAACACAGTCCTGATACCACCACCTTTCAAATGGTATTTTAAATTCTAAGGAAGGAAACCAAATGCTAACCTTTCTAATGTTGCCAGGGAAACGGGAGATAGAATCCACATGGATCCATCTTTAATGGTCTTCAAGCTTGCTAATACCTATGTAGCTACATAATGGCAACCAAAGAAAGCCTCACCAAAAGACCATTGATGCAAAAAACACAACTTTCACCTCTGCAGCCAAATATGAGTGATTATGGCCCAGGAACACAGATTTAGGGCACCCCAATATCCAAGGCAGAAGCAGTTTCATGAACTTTTTATAGTAACAGAAAAAGTCATAAGGCATTTTCCAAATGCACTGGTGGAAACATTAAGAAGGTAGTTACAGCAGAGAAATCTCAGTTATAGGCCTCTGATGTCATCTGATGACACTCAGTTTCTTGGTTGGTAGAAACTAGGGTTTTGTAATGTCAATACATCACAAAAGGTTTTTATCTGTTTATCTGTATATTCATATATTTGATCTGACACCAAAGTGGGCAAGGAATGACTCTTTAGGGGCTTAAGAAGGCTCAAGACTAATTGTAATTAGGCGCTGGACTTGCAACATTTCAAACTCTGTACTCATTTAAGTTCTAATCAGTCTTGCAGAAGGTTCAGTTTGAAGATGCAGGGTTTTTTTCTGGGAATTTTCGTTCAGAGTTGCAATTTAAAAATGCTCCAAGTACCTCTGCTTAACTAGAAGGGTAAAAGGGACCACTGTTAGGCTAATGTGGTGACCCAATGGTAGCCCACTGGACAATTCTTCCCTGTGCCAATTAGGCATAATTATTTCTTTGAGACACAGACCTTCCAAGAATCCTAAATTTCTTTGAGACACAGTGAAGAAAATTGGCACAACATGGGACCCCCGACCATGGAATGTCTGGTCCCCCAACCATTCAGTTCTATATTGGCAACTTTCTCTTTCCTCCTGCCTGGGTGTCCTGATGGGTCACACAGAGCACCAAGAGAAAACACAAGAATGGCTGAAAATCAATCTCCCCTGCAGCCCCTATCTTCCCTGCAGCAGCTGTCCCCCCAACAAATCCCCTTGTAACTGCTGTCTATATATGACTCTGATCAGTCTTTGGGGTAGTCTCCATCCCACCGGAAGGCTGCTTTCCCTCGCTGTGCTAATAAACAGTTTAGTCTGCTGAGGTCAATGTGGTCACTTTCTCTCCTATCACCTGTATTCTGCATTCCAAACCTAACACACAGACCTTGCAAGAACCCTAAATTTCTTTGAGACACAGACATTCCAAGAATCCTAAAAATGTTCTTCAATTGCTAAAAAAAGAAACTTTGTTAGATTAAAAAAAAAAATCACCTGCTCCACATGTGACAAAACTCTTAAACCATGAGGAATTTCGGTTGTTTCATGGATCCTCAGTAGTATATCCCCCACCCTTCCGTGAAAGAGAAATTCCTCATCTGTGGTCTTCAGAATTTCTCTAAAACTTGTTTCTTGATAGAGGTAAGGGCGGCTTCTCAAATGCACATGCAGCCGGGACACCAAACTTGAGCCACTGTGATGAGTGGAAAAGCCGGAAAAGCCCTTTCATCCATAAAACAGATACCCTTATGAAGGCGCCAGGCCAGTCCACACGCGGAAAGACGCTCAATTTCCTTTCATTTTCGAGTTTCTCTTTACTTGACAGACGCACACAAACCTCATTTAAAGGCAGAACTCGGAGCAGCGGGGAAGGTCGCCGGGAGGGCGGGACAGCTAGGCGAGGTGGGCGGGGCTGTTGGAGTTGCTTGGGAAAACCAAAAAGGCAGGTTCGGGAGCAGGGCAGGGTGGAGCGAGCGGGCGGGGCAGGGAGGAGATCCAGGGGGCGGGGCTGCGAGGTGATTCAGGAGGCGGGGCTAACGGGCGGGGCTGGCGCTGAAAGCGAGGAGATCCTGGGAGAAGGGCTGACGGGAGGGGCAGCGCTGTGGAGTGGGCGGAGCAGAGAGGCGATTCAGGGGCGGGGGCGAGCGGTGGGCGGGGCTGGATAAGGTAGGCCCGCCCCTCCAGTCCAGGCAGTTTCTATTCCTTTCTCTCCCAGAGCTTCCTCTTCCTCTGACCCGGGCAAGAAGTGGGGCGGGCCTTTCGGGGCGGAAGTCGCAGTGCATTGTGGGCTCCCTCAGAGCAGTGGAGTTTATCCTGAATGAAAGTGGCGCGCCGAGCCTGACGGTGTGACGGTGTCCGGATCCAGTGGGTGGCCCTGGGATCCCGCCTGTTCGGGTGCGGTGGACCGCGATCCGGAGCGGACGGCGAGGCGCGGCGGAGGCTGTGGGCCGTGCAGACATGGCTTACAACAAGATCCCGCCGCGCTGGCTGAATTGCCCGCGGCGCGGCCAGCCGGTGGCAGGTACCCGGGAGGGTGCTGCGGGATGGCTGGGAATCCCACACCGCGTCGTCCTGGAGGAACGCAGCGGGCTCATGGGCGGCCTGTGGGGACCCAGGAGTGCTTCGCCGGGTGACTGTCCCAGGGCGCGGGCAACTTGTCCGGGTTCCTGTAAGGCCGAGTGTGGAGAACGGGAAGGTGGACAAGAGGCTTGTGTGGCCGAAACTGAGGACCCCGATTGCAGGGGCCCGCACTTCAAAGCATAGTCAGAAATTTGCGAACCTCTTTGTTGTCGTTTTTTGAGACAGGGCCTCTGTCTTGTGAGCCTTCCCCTCAGGAAGGACTGTGGGTCTTGAAATGGAGGAAAGCAAAGGGGGAGGGGAGGGGCGAGTGTGGGAATCTGGAGGTTTTGGTTTTGTTGTAAAATGACTTCTGTACATGTTTTGAATTTAATGTAGGGTAGCCATACCCCCCCCCCCCTTTGTTGTAAAATGACTTCTGTACATGTTTTGAATTTAATTTAGGGTAGCCATCCCCCGCCCCTCGCCCCCGAACTTCCGAGCCTCTTTTGCCTCTAAAATAGCTGGGATTATAGACTTGTGCCTCTGCCTGGTACACTAAACAATGTGTACAGTTTGATAAATTTGACCACACACATGTATCCTAAGAAATACACTTGAAATTTCTGAGACAGTTCTCGGAAATAAAAGAATGTGTGGAGACATTGCAGATGGGAGCCTCATAGGAGAAGCAGGGTTAGATAGCGGTTGGAACTTTGTCAGCTGGGCCTAGGAGCCAAGAATGTTTTTATAATAAAATAAAGGAAGAAGTACATGAATTGTTTACATTGAATTTACTTTGACAGAAGAGTAAGTACCACTGGGCAATTGCTTGCAGGTCTTCACTGCTAAGCCTTCTGACTTTTTTGAGTAATAACTTCAAACAGTGTAACTTTTCCTTTCCCCCTTTCTCTCTCTTCTTTGAATACCAGTTAAAATAGAGTGAGCTGTGACTCTCCCCTGAGGAGCTAATACCCACACTTGGGTATGTCTTTCTGTATGTCTTGCTTCTCTGAGAAGCCCATACCCAACTTTCTGGTAAAGAAAGACTCACTAGTCCCTCCTTCTCTTAAGCTAAAGCTTATATTAAAACATCTTTAACTCCAGTTCTGTTACACACACACACACACACACACACACACACAGGATAACAAAGCAGGGAAGCTTTAGGATGGGACTTGGGTGAAGATTTCAGCATACATTTAGAAATACAACAGTTTTTGTTACCGGTCAGGATGCAGTGATTAACTCATTTTCTTTCCCTCCATCTCTGGCACTTGTAATTAAATTTAGGACGTCTCAGATTTTTTCTCACCTCGTTTACTGCTGCCTCTTCCACACCCCCACAAGTCTTACCATTTATATTACTTTGCTTAAGTTACATGGAAGATTATAGACAGCTAAGCAGTTTTTTTTCTTTATTTTTGAGACAGGGTTTCCCTGTAGTTCCAGCTGTCCTGGAACTAAGTGATACAGACCAGACTGGCCTTTATCTTACAGAGATTAGACTGCCTCAGCCTCCTGGGGTATTGGGATAAAAGATGTGTGCCACGGCAGGCCCACCACACCTGGCTCAGAAGTAAGTTTTAAAATGAAGCCCAAATAAATAGAAAACTCATGTTCTTGATATATATTCCATTCAGAGTTACACAAAGCACTTTTTTTTTGGGTTTTTGTTTGTTTTGAGACAGGGTCTCCCTTTAGTGCCAGCTGGTGAGGAGCTTGCTATGTAAACCAGGCTGGCCCAGAATAAGTCCACCTTCCTCTGCCTCCCCTGTACTGGGATTAAAGGTGTGTGCCACCACACTGGGCTAGAAATTTTCTAATAAATGCAAACATCATTCTCTCTTTCTCTTTCTCTTCCCCTCCCTCTTTTTTTGAGATTTCACGTAGGCAAGGCTGACCTTGAACTCCCTATGTAGTTGGGAATGACTTTGAACTTCTGATTCTTCTGCCTTGGCCTCCCAAGTGTTGGGGGTTAGTGCTGGGATCACAGGCATTGGCTCCCATGCCCAGTTACTGATTTATATAGTGAGTTTGAGTTGTTGAGGCATTTCTTACACATTGTGAATGTGTCTGTGGTTTGCCTTTTCATTCTCTTAATAGTTCAGTTTGAAAAAGTAAAAAGTTTCACCCCTAATTCCAGCACTTGGAAGGTAGAGGCAGGTAAATCTCTGTGAGTTCCAGGACAGCTGGGGCTACAGGGAGACCTTGTCTAAAGAAAAAAACAAAAACAAACAAAAACAAATTTAAAGCCAGGTAAAGCATATACATAGGTGCTAGGACTTAGGAGGCTAAGGCAGGAACATTAAAATTTTGAGGCTAGCCTGGGCTGTTAGATCATGCCTCAAAAACAAAAACACTAAATCCCCACTCCTTGAGAAAAAGAGAATTTAAGCAAGTTGTAGTGTGAGGAAATAAACTTTCCTTATACTCTCACCATATTTATATGTAATTCAGTTGTCATGAAGTTTTTGATAATTGTTGGATTGTCTTCAATCAAATTAATCATTTGATCATAAATCTTAAAAGATTTATTTACTTAGGTGTTGGGAATTGCACTTAGGGCCTCACACATGCTAGGCAAGTGCTCTACCACAGAGCTGTATTCCCAGTCTTTATTTTTGTGTGTTTGTGTGTGTGTGTGTGTGTGTGTGTGTGTGTGCATGGATGTGAAGATCAGATGACAACTTGTGGGTTCCCTTCTACCATGAGGGTCCCAGGTATTGAATTTAGGTTGTCAGGCTTGGTGGCAAGTGCCTTTACCCACTGAGCCATCTCACCAGCCCCTTGGGTTAATTTTTATTTAATTCATTTATTATTATTATTGTTGTTGTTGTTGTTATTATTATTATTATTATTTGTTGTTGTTATTATTATTATTATTTTGGTGTTCTGAGGCAGTGTCTTACTATGTAGTCCAAGCTGGCATGGAACTTGCTGTGTAGCTCAGGCTGGTCTCAAACTTCCAGTCCTCCTGCCACAGTTTCCTAAGTAGTTGGGATTACAGACATGCTTCCCCATGCCCATCTCACATTCCTGTTATTATAGTTTTTCCCATTTTTTTCTATTATGGAAGCAATCATTTTAAATATATAGTTTTGGTATATTTTTCTTTATTAATGCATGTTGTACATAAATGTGCTTCTCTTTTACAGCTTTCTGTATTCTTTGTTCTGTACTTTTGGCATATGGCTTATATGATGTGTAGGCCACCAGACTGGAGCCTCCTGAGCTGCTTGAAAGTGCCATGGGAATGCTGAAGGCCACCCCCCCAACTCCCTCCTAGTCTATCCCAGTAGTGCTCACAGCCTGTTTGTGTGTTTTTAATGTGCAATGCCAAATACTACAATTTTTAAAACATTGAGGTGTTCTGATTAGAACTTAAATTATTTTGACTTTTCTTTTTTTATTAAATTACATGTTACATTTTACTCATTTTAGTATATGTATATGTACGTGTATGTGAGAATCATCAGCATAAGACAGTATTTACAGACATGTAGTTGATCACACTGTGCTTACATAACGCTAGTTTCTTTTCTTTTTCTTTTTCTTTTTTTTAGTCTTTTTGAGACAGGGTCTCCCTATAGCCCCAGCTGTCCTGGAACTCACTTAGTAGACCAGGCAGGCCTTGAACTCACAGAGATCCGCCTGCCTCTGCCTTCCAAGTGCTGGGATTAAAGGCGTGCGCCACCACGCCCGGCAATGCTGGTTTCTTTAACAGAGAGCTCCCCAAATTCAGAATTCAGTATTTGTTTATATCTTGCCCATATCCCAGTCATAATGCATTAAGTGTCAGGCAGCTTTCCTGGATAACTCTTCTGCCATTGGTAGCTCTAAGCGCTTTCCATCTTGTGATGCTATCCTCTTAGAGCTGTGACCTATAAGGTTGCTGTGGAAGAGTAGGGATGGATAATCTCTTAGGGTGGGTTAGGATTAGCTTTGGTAGTGGTATAGCTCAGTGTTTCCCATGTACTGTTGAACAGAATCCAGTCACCTGACTCACCCAATTGCAAGAGAAGCTGAGAAGTATAGTTCTTTGATGTGCCCTGGGAAAAGGATAAATGTAATTTGATGAGTAGTTAGCATTATTTATATTGTAGTGGAGAGGGCTTTGCAGAGAATGTTGTGAGTATAGGAGGTCTAGTATGGAACACATGAAAATCTATCATTTAAAAGCTGAGTAGAGGATGAAAGAGGAAACAGAAGAATGGAGGAGGAATAGGTGGAAAGTGTTAGGTGGGTAGTAGATATGAAAAGAGTAGATGTCCATTGGTAATTGCAGCCATCAAGAGGCAGAGGCAGGAGGATCACAACTTCAAGGCCAGACTAGGCTACATAGTGAGACTCTGTCTCAAAAAATCTAAAATTGAGTGTGTTAAAAAAAAGGCAAAACCCCACCAAATTTTGTATCATAGAAGCAAGGAAGTTTTTAAAGAAGGGAGTTTTTGGATATATGAAATGCTACTGAGATGTTAAGATACGGGTAATGGTTGCAAACTGTGGCGAATATTATCTCTGCTTCCCAGGAAGTAATCCCCTCTGGAAGGAGGGAAGCTTAAGGGAGTAGAGAAGAGAATTCTGATTTGACTGTGTGAAGGAGAGCTCAAAATTGGGTGCAGTTATGGAGAAGTAAAGTTAGGACTTTTGTTTACAAGTGTACAAATAAGTATTATTTGCATTCAAAATTTAAAAAATGTTTGGTGGGCTGGAGCTGCGGCTCAGTGGTAGAGTACTTGCCCAGTATGTATAAGGGAGGGAACAAAAAAGAAAAAGAAAAATTTGTGAGGAGTCAAAATAAAGCACAATCAGGGAGAGTGTAGGTCTTGTTCTCTTCTGGTCATATCTGTTGGGGATTATAAGTACCTCATGGATGTCAATGTCCATTTCTTTCCCTAGCTTTGGGAAATAGTCTGCCAGAATTGTATTGAATAGGTTTCCTATGCCTTTAGTCTGTGTCTT